CTTCCTTCCTTCCTTCCTTCCTTCCTTCTCTGTCAAATATCATTTTATTGCAGCAATTATTTAAATCAGGTGTCTCCATCCTTGGCAACTTTCAGACCTATAGACTTCAACCTCCAGAGTGAGATTATATGTAGATTATAATTTCAGATTGCTTTCCAGGGATTTTTTTCCACAACTATTTTAAAATCTTAGTTCCAAAGGGAAAATACACAATAAAGAAAAAAGGAAGAAACAAACTAACAGTTTGGATACTCCAACACTGGAAGTTTTTAAGAAGAGATTGGATAACCATTTGTCTGAAATGGTATAGGGTTTCCTGCCTAAGCAGGGGGATGGATTAGAAGACCTCCAAGGTTCCTTCTAACTCTGCTATTCTTTTATTTTTTTTCACTGTTTACCCCATCATATCTTATTGTTTTATTTCTCATTTCATATTGCATATTTTGTGTGAGTCTGATGTTTCCTCTTCATTAGGGTTATTCCATTTTTAACTACAGAGAGTGAATTTTTGCGTCCCTAGGAAGGATGATAGTATTCTAAATCAATTAATACCTTGTTTCAAAATGTTGTGTTCTGAAAATGATACCTGTTCTCTGCTATCATTCATCTTGGAATAATATAGTTAAACTAATGCAAACTATTTGTCTTTTGCAGGATCCTGGTGTTATGCCTCACAAGAGTGTAAAGTCCCCAATTGCCAAGGTAACTTTCAAAGCCCATAGTTCAATGTACTGTAAAACATGAACCGGGGCAAGGTGTGGGAAAATGCAATTTATTTTATTTCCTTTTCTGTTGAGTCACTATTATGAATAGTTATGCAATGAAATGCTGATTAGAGCAAATGGTAATAAAAATATTGAATTCTTGGAGAGCTGCTGAGCTGATTTGCTGCCATTCCAGTCTTGCCCTGAAAAGACCCTTGAATTGCAAGGTTAAATTTCTTTCATGCTTTTATTGACCTGAATATTAAGTAATTAATATTCAGTTGCGTGCTTTCGAATTGCTACGTTGGCAGGAACCTGGGGTGAGGACAGGAACTCACCCCATCGCATGGTGCGTGGGTCTTGAACCTCGGCTGCCGGCTTTCCAGCCGACAAGCCCAGATCTTAATCACTGAGCCCATTGCCCTGCCATATAGCCTCGATATGTTTTCATGGAATCCATTTTTTTAAAGAAAGTTTTTTATTTTTCTCTTTCAAATTCATTTACAGATATACTCTCTTATCATTACTTTTAACGTTTATCTATTCATCATTAACCTTTATCGTTATTTTCTTACAAATATATAGATTACAGTTCGGGTCACTTTCTTATCATCCCAAAGCTCCATCTTATTTTGCAACAACCTTGCTCCTTCTCTCTTCCCAACCTCCTTCTTTCTTCCTCTCCTTCCTCCTTTCTTCTTCCCCTCTCTTCCCCTCCTCCTCCATCTTGCCCTCTCTCCTACTCTTAATTCTCCTCCCTTGCTTCCTCTGCTTTTATCCTTTCTTCCTTTCCCTCCTCATCCTTCCTTCTTTCTTCTTCCCCCCTCTCTTCTCCTTCTTCCCCTCTCTCCTACTCTTAATTCCCCTCCTTTGCTTCCTCTGCTTTTACCCTTTCTTCCTTTCCCTCCTCATCCTTCCTCCTTTCTTCTTTCCCCCATCCTCCTCTCTTCTCCTCCTTCTTACCCTCTCTCCTACTCTTAATTCTCCTCCCTTACTTCCTCTGCTT